ACAACTACTGAGCCTGCGCGTCTGGAGCCTGTGCTCTGCAGCGGGAGAGGCCGCGATAGTGAGAGGCCCGCGCACCGCGATGAAGAGTGGCCCCCGCTTGCCACAACTAGAGAAAGCCCTCGCACAGAAACGAAGACCCAACACAGCCATAAATAAATTAATTAATTAATTAAAAAATACTGAATCATTGACTGATTGCAGGGGAGAAGCGACCGCAGGTGGAGCCTCTAAACCCGTGCCATTCACAGTGTGCACCGTGGGCCAGCCCCTCGTCCCAGCGACACCTCACAGCCTCTTGGCCTTGGCCCCTGGCGCTGAGTGCATCAGCAACAGTCCGGTTAAGAGAAGGGAGCCCCGGAAAGGGGGGGTGAGGGCCAGCCCCAGAGTAGGGTTTCTTGACCCTTGGAGGTCGAACTCCTTCTGAGAATCTGGTGGAAATTCTGCTCCCGCTGCCCAGAAAAATAGACATACAACCTGACACGCATGGCAGGGGGTCCGCCAGAGCCCATCCATGAACCCCAACCCACAAAATCCTCTCTCTTCTTCCCATCCCGATATTGCCCACCTACCTACTCCTCCATGCACCATGCCAGGGCCCCAGGAGCTAAGACACAAGCCCTGCCTCTGGGAGCTTGCAGGCCAGACCAAGATGCACGCCCAAGGGACTCAAAGCAAAAGCAGAGGGGCCCATGTGGGAGTTCCCAGGAGGGAGGGGCTCATTTCCAATCTGAGGAGGCAGCCTTGGGATCACAGCAAGCCCACAGGCTCTGGAGTCGGCCAGTCTCTTCATTTATACAGTGGAGATCAATGACCGCCTCACCGGGATGGCGTGAGATAGTGTCAACGGTATTTAGCGCGGAGCGAGGCTCAGGTAAACGTGCCATTGGCCCAGCTGGGCACGGTAAGTTGAATAATGGCCCTCCAAAACTGCCCATATCCTAAGCACTGGAGCCTGTGGCTGTCTTACCTTAGGTGGCAAAAGGGACTTTTCTGATGAGATCACATTAAGGGTTTCGAGGTGGGGCCGTTATTATGGATTATCCAGGTACTAGACAGAGGCAGGAGTGTCAGAGTCAGAGCAGATGTGACAATGGACGCAGAGGTCAGAAAGGCAGGGAGATTTGAAGATGATGCCCTGCTGGATTTGAAGATGCAGGAAGGGGTCCAGAGCCAGAGAATTCAGGTGGTCTCTAGAAGCTGGGAAAAGCAAGAGAAAAGATTCTCCTCTAGGGCCTCCAGAAGGAACACAGCCTGGAGGATCCATTTTCATCTTCTTTTTTTGTTTTGGTTTTCTGTTTGTTTGTTTTTGGTTTTGTTTTTGTTTTTTTTGGCCACACTGCGTGGCATGCGGGATCTTAGTTCCCCAACCAGGGATCTAACCCACACCCCGCCCCTTGTGGAAGTACCGATTCTTAACCACCAGACCACCAGGGAAGTCCCCATTTTCATCTTCTGACTTCCAGACTATAAGATAATAAATTCGTGTTGTTTTAAGAGGCTAAATTTGTGGTCATTTGTTACAGCATCCACAGTAAACTAATACACCAGGCCTTGCCAGGGGAGGCCAGAGCCTGCTGGGGCGAGGCTGTGGTGCAGGAGGGAGGCCGGAGGGGGAGTTTTGCAGCCGGCAGGGCAAGGAGTGAGACTGCATTGGGAGGGAGGAGGGGCTGGGCATGGAGTGCTCAGCCCGTGACCTCACCCTTGGCCAGCCAGGCTGCCCTGGCATCCGGACGCCTGTCAACCCGAGGTTATATGCCTCACTGGGCCAGAAAGGGATCCCCGTGTAGCCAGGCCCCAGGCAAGGGTGGGGTTGTGGCAAAGAAGGCTGGTGCCAGGGGAGGGAGCTCAGTCAGCCCCTGGGGCTGCAGAGGCCACAGCAGTGGAGGGGGAGGCCAGCAGGGGTTGGCAAGGTGCCCTGTCACCCAGGGCCCTCTGCCAGCTTGTCCTGCTCTACCTCTCTCCTGTGGGACACAAAGCACTCCCTTCCTCTCTTCTTTTTCCCTCTCCACCCCTGGGCTCCCCTAGGAAAGTGGGAGGAGGAGGGACTTGGGGGTAGAGAGCAAGTGATGGGGTCACAATCTCAGCTCAGTGGCTGAGTAGCTGGGTGACCTTGGGCGAATCTCCTTGTCTCTCTGAGCCTGTTCTCTCCTCTGGAATTGAGGAAAGAGTGTCCACTTCACGGGGCTATATTAAATGACACAACACAGCGCCCAGCATAGCGTAAACCCTCTAAGTGCAGCTGCTCTTTGTGTTATCACATGTATACACGCTACTGCCCACAGATAGAACATCAAGTTTATCTGCCCTGCTAGGTGCCCAGTTCCTCCAGGGAACATGGTGTCCTGCCTACCTTTGCATCTCAGCATTGCTACAATTACTGGTGTGTATTACCCCCCCATTCATTCACTCATTCAACAAGTACTTATGTGTAACACTGCTTTCGATGATGAAAACATGAGGGAAAACAGACCGTGTGCATATGAACAGAGAGTATGTTTGTGATGTGTTATGAAAAACAACAAAGCAGGAAGAGGGAGTGCCAGCGGAGGGGGAAGCGGAGCGGTTTGCTATTTGGTACAGGGTGTCAGGGAAGGTCTGTCTCACAAGATGCTGCTGGAGCAGAGACCCAACGGAAGTGAAGGAGTGAGCTCTGTGGATTTCTGGGGAAGTGGAGGGTTCAGGCCTGGTGGAAGCATTCGAGGACAGCGGGGCTGGTGTGGTGGGATCAGAATGGGTGAGGGGAGAGGGATAGAAAACAAGGTCTGACATAGTTGGGGCCAGATCACACATGGCCTTGCAGGCCATAGTAAAGCCTGGATTTTACCAGGCTTTACTATGGACATTTACTATAGAATGGAATTGCTATTCTCCAGACAGGGTAGATTTAAGGAGGAAACGTCTAGGAGGATAGTGAGGGAGTGTGATGGTTAATTTTATGTGTCAACCTGACTGGGCCACGGGGTGCCCAGATATTTGGTCAAACATTCCGGGTACTCATGCTGGTGTTTTTGGATGAGATTAACATCTGAATCTGTAAGACTGGGTAAAGTGGATTGCCCTCCTGAGTGTGGGCCATCTGCTGAAGGCCTGAATAGAACAAAAAAAGGCTAAGAGAGAATTTGCTCTCTTTGCCTAAGTCTTTGATCTGGGACATGGATCTTCTGCTTCCAGACTTGGACTCAGACTGGATGGCTCTCCTGTTCTCAGGCATAAATAAATATAGTGCACCTACCTCCTACTGGTTCTGTTTCTCTGGAGGACTAACACAGGGAGTCAGAAGTCGGGTGTTGGTTATGTTCAGCACGAGATCCTGGTCAGTGTCCTGGTGGAGACATGGAACAGGCAGAGACACGAGGTCACAGGGACTGAGACCAGATCCGATCATTGAACTGAATTTGAATCCTCCCGATCTCTGTCCCTTGACCCAGCTGAGGCCGGTTTTCTCCTCTGCACAGCTGCTGAAGTGGAATCCTTTCCTGCTTCTTCTCCCCAGAATAGCCCTGGGCTCCAGCTTTGTGTCCTGCTTGGAGAGCTCTCCTGTCCTTGGCTTCTCCAGAGGGTTCACATAACCTCCAGAAGCCCTAAATCCCTTCCCCTCCCCAACTCTGTGGTCTCTGACAGAGGGGAGCCCCCGCAAGGTGAGGGGAGCCCTGAGCAGAGGGGTTCCCCACCCAGGCCAGGAAAGGACAGCCGGGCTAGCAGGGGTGGATGCTCTCCTGGTCTCCCAACAAGTTCTGGCCCCCAGCACCCCCCATGCCAGCTTCCCTTGGGGGCTTGGACACTTCACACCCACCAGGAGGTGCAGTGGAATGGAGGGGGACATCCAGGCAGGCCCAGCTTCCTAACCGGGTGTACCTCTTAACAGCTGGTGACCTGGGCGGGACACTTTGTCTCTCTGAGCCTCATTTCCCCCATCCATAGCAAAGGGATAGGTGTGACTGCCTTATAGGGTTGCTGAGGGTAAGATGCACCTACCACAGCGGCTGTTGCTTAGTAATAAATGACAGCAGGTGGCGGGTCTTTCAGACTCCTTTCCCCACCCCCCAGCCAGCCTCTCTCCTTTCTGAGAGATTAGATTATTTTACCCCCATCCTGTCCTTCAGAAGCCAAATTTTACTATGGACGTGGGCAGCCAGGGAATGGTTGCCAAGGGCAGGGCTTTCAGAAAGGCTGCCGGTCGCCCAGGAAACTACCCCACTCGGGGTTCCCTGGGGTCCCACAGGTCGTTGGGTTCTTGCGCCACCTGCTGGATGCAGTGCCGCACTGCTCCTAAAGCACCCAGACCCGGGAGTCCCGCATCCCCGAGCAGAGAACACTCTGCCCCGCCCCTCTTCTCCTCACAGCCTCTCCACCATAAAAGGTCCTTCTTACTGTTTGTCCCTACATTTTCCAGAGGCCAGAGGCACGGAAAGGAGTTGGAAGCACTGTGAACCACAGGGAGGAGTGGGAGCCACGTCCTTCCCGGCGAACGACGAGGACGCCGGAGGGCTCTGGTAGTGTGGGGTCCGAAGGAAGTCCCTCCCCTTAATTGATTTCCTGAAGCTCGGACTCCGCAGTGCAGACACACGTTTTGTTTCTCATTAGTCCACTTTCCACCAAGAGGGAGCAGTGGGGAGGAAGAGGTTAAAATCGGGGGTGGGAGAGTGACGTGCAGGGTCACAGCCAGGTCCTTACGCAACATCCCCTCCTGGCTCCCTCCTCCTTTCCAGCGGCTCAGCCCCTGACGCCCTAGTCCTGACTTATCTTTTCTTCTCTGGGGAGAACCTCCCTACCTACCTTGACAGCATGTCAGACAAACCCCTTGGAGCCTCAGATCATCCTGCCTCAGAAGGAACTCCCGGTGGCGAGGGGCAGAAGAGGCAGAAGCCAAAAGCCCTCTGCTATGAGAGACAAGGTCTCCTGGGTTGGATTCCTGCCTGAGGCAGCCCCTGTGCTTGGCCATCCTGAGGTCATCCTGCCCTGAAAGGTGAAGGGTGAGGTGGAGCAGCTGACGTGTGGGGTCAAAAGACAGGAAGCTGTTGGGGTGCCTGGGGGGTGCTCCTCTTTCCCCTGTTAGGATCACAAGTGGAGAAACCCAGGCAGAGGCACACAGAGAGGGAAAGGCTGGTGTCTACCCGTCCCAGGGTAATACTGCACCTTGCAACCCACATGCCTCCTCCCTGACTTCAACTGAGCTGGGGATGTGGATGCCTTGGGAGCCAGACACCCTGGCTCCCAGCCCAGAAGCTGAGGTCGCCAATGGGCTTAAGAGGGCGTGGAGCGGCAGGCTGGGGACCAAGGTCTCCCTGACCCCGCCCATCTTCCCTCCTGAGCTGAGCTGCCAGGTGGTAAAGGAGGAGGCTGATGCAGGTGAGTCCGAACCCTGCAGGTGAGGGGCACTGCCCTGAGGACGACAGGTACGGCGAGTGGGGGTAGTAGGGCAGGGGCCCGGGAGAAGTTGCATCCTTTGACCCTGGCACTACCCTCTGACCAGATGCCCTTACTCCAAACTCCCCTCAGCTGCAGGCAGAAGGGCTGCTGGGGGTGCACTGGGGTGGATAGAACTGGCCCCTCAACCTCCAGATGGGGGGCAGCCTGTGGGTAAAGCAGGGCGGGGGACCAGAGATGCTGGAGTTGGGGCGTGTGTGGCCCTACAAGCCTGGAGGGATCCTGAAGGAGCAAAAAGCTCTTCATAAGAGTGGAGGGGGGCGCTGCCTCCCCACCAGCCCCCGGGGCTGGTCCCGCCTCCTCTCCAGACTGCACTTCCGGGTGTGAGGGGAGTGATTGGAGGGAAAGGTTGAGGGCAGCTGAGTTGCACGCAGCTGGGGTGCTGACCCCTCCTCTCTGGGCTGGCTGACCAGTTCCTGATTGGCATTAGAACCACAGACGCTTCAAGGGCCCTCAGAGGGCTAATCCGACCTCTCCTGAGCTACCCAGTCGTGCCATCAGAGAGCGATGTGTGGGGAAAGGTGGAGCCAGAGTTGAGGGCCAACCACCACTCTTCATCTGTCCTCCAGGGTGCACCAGCCACGGCCCCGCTGCTACCCCCACCGATGTGACGGCGACCCAACTCCCCTGCTCCATCCACCTGTACTGCAAGCCGGGCCCCCTAGGGTCCCGGGGGCCCTGCCCCATGCTTCTGCTCCTGCTATGGCTGGGGGCGCAGCCCACTGCCCAGGCCAAGTACCTGCAGCTCTACCTGGCCTGCGGCTGCGACGTGCTGGCCGTGGAGAGCATGCTGAGCTGCGCACCGGGGCCTGGGGCAAGCTGCCCGAGTGCTGGCGCTGCTGTGAGGGCCTGGGGCACTGGCCAGCCGCCCACTGGTGATGCACGCGCTCTCCCTGGGTGGCTACACCTCTGCACAGATGCCCCTGCTCGTGGGCCAGGACCTGGGGCGCCACAGAAGCGTGGCCCAGTGCCTGAGGTGCCGTATTTTCGACAGCCTGGACCGCATGGCGCTGGGTGAGTGTGCGGGGCAGGGGTGAGGGGGCACCTGGGCCACACAAACCAGGCTGGACTCCAGGCGGACAGGCAGTTCTGCCAACCAAGGGGTCTGTGATCTGCGTCTGTCCCAAATGCGGCTCTGGGTTTCCTCTGACCGTCCACCTGACGTGGCCTTCCTACCCGGAGCATCTGTCGTTTTGTCCCATCTGGGCCTCCCCCACTGTGGCTGAATTTACAACGCAGAGTGATCGTGTTGTCTGGGTCCAGCCTGGCATGCCTTTATCTGCAGCCTCTATTAAGGCTAATTTACTAAGCGCCTATAACTTTCCATGCTCACTCACATAATCCCCACAGTGAGGCCACAGTAGGCGCCGTGCCTTCTGAAATTTTCTTAGGACACATGCTTTGCAGAGTCTCAGAAATCAGGTACAGTTGACTCTTGAACAACACGGGTTTGAACTGTTGCGCGGGTCCACTTATATGGGGATTTTTTCAGTAAATACGTACTGTAGCACTACAGGATCTGAGGCTGGTTGAATCTGCAGATGTGGAACAGATACGCAGATATGGAGAGCCAACTATAAAGTTATATGCGATTTTCAACTGCGTGGAAGGTCAACACCCCTAAGCCCCACGTTGTTCAAGGGCCAACTGTAATTGGATGCACACAGGTTTCCTCTAAAACAGTGATTTTCGAACTTTGGTAAATATCAGAATCACCTGGTGCTGAGTGATGAGTCAGGGGCCCAGCCCCCATCCTATTGCAGTGAGCCTGTGGGCCTCTGGGTTTTTAAGCTCTCTACGTGATTCTGATACCCACCACAATTTGAGGACCACTGTGCTCCAACTTCCTCTAGAAGGACCAAACTAATGCTAACATACCAAGTAAAGGAAGGTCATTGTTACAAAGTAACCCATTCTGTTCCTCAGCTCTGACCAACTACATCTAGTTCAAAAGGAAAACTCATGCAGAGTGACTGGGAATTTCTCTAAAAATCCTTAGATCTTTTCCATCTCAATTGCTGGTCAAATTGCTTCCTGTATGGTTTTTGTAAAGCAGTGTGCAAGACAAACCATGAAACATGGCCTCGTTCTGGTCCATCCGCTCTCATCTTTTACAATCTCCTGGTATCCAGACATCCTTCTCCCACCCAGCTGGGTCACCTCAGACTCCTAGGTGCTCACCAAGGCCACAGATTCCAGGGCACAAGGCCTCTGGGGACTCTCGATGACCCAGTCACTTTGCAACAACTCCTGGAGCCATTGCTGAACCAGTTCTGAACCCACCCAACAGTCCAGCACTTTCCTTCTTGTCCCTGAAGATGCCACAAAGCTGGAAAATGCCACAGAGAGAGGCTGACTCCAGGCCACGTGGCTCTTTTAGGAAGGGCCTGGGAGAGGGCAGTTACCGGCCCAGGATGCCAAGAGTGGGCTGAGGGAGCCCCTCCCTGGCGGTCATGGGGATGTTTCCAGCTCTTCACTACCCACAACTAGGGCCTTCTGCCCCCTCTGCTTCCTGCCACCAGAGCATTCCCAGGCCATCTTACTTGCTTCTGCCCCGAATGGTGTCTGTACCTGGTGGGACAGCTGGGTGCCCGCTGCCCAACTACAACAGAGGCAGAGAAGGCAATGTGAACATCCTCAGCAGCCCATGTGTCAGTGCTGTCCCCACCAGAAGGCGGTCCTGAGCCACACGTGACAATGGGCACTAGCCCCCGCTCCCTGGTACCCACAGGTGTGTCTCAGCTCATGAGACCACAGGCCCTGGGCCCGGTGGTCAGGGCCACAGCCATGCTCTGCTTCCACCTGCGCGCGGGCTGCACCGTTCGGCATTACGAGGCTGCGGTGAGCGCTTTCTGGCAGCCGCCCGCGAGGCCCCCGACGCTCGTCTTCTACAGCCACGACGACCCCCTCTGCGACAGGGCCTGCCTGCAGGAGCTGCTGGCCAGCTGGGCAAGCCGGTGTGGGCGCAGGCCTGGGGGACCTCGCGCCACGCGGCCCACCTGCGCCAGCACCCCCTGGAGTGCCGCAGCACTCCCACCACCTTCCCAGGGAGGCTCGGCCTGGCGCCCCCCGCGGCCCGGCTCTGATGGGGCTCTGGGCTCCAGCTTACCACCAGGGGAGGGGCTCGCTGTCCAGTGGACAAGGGACAGAGACAGGATGGCGGAGGCGTTGAAACCTCTTGATTTATTCAGATTATTTAACATACAATGACGCAACTGTGACCCCAAAGTGTGCAAACTTAAAGCCTTCAACTGCAGCTGAGAGGAGAGGGGGGGGACGGTCCACCTGGGGACGGGGGCGGGTCAGGAACGACAGGCCGCCTCCTCCCCAGGGCCAGGGATGGGGTGGCCTGAGGAGCAGGGCCCGGATAGTCCACAGCTGAGAGGAGAGGGCAGGGATGGTCCACCTGGGGGTGGGGGCGAGCCAGGAACGACGGGCAGCCTCCTCCCCAAGGGCCAGGGCCAGGGGTAGGGGGCAGAGACCTCCCTCTGGCCTAGGTCAGGAGCCCAGAAGTGCCACATGGCTGAGGGGGCAGCAGCCCAGGAAGGGGCCAGAGGCAGGGCCAGGAGAGCACCAATTCTGGGATGGGGGTTAGGGAGGGAGGTGCCCTACAGGAGAAGCCAGGAGGGGCCACGTGTCCCAGGGGTGGGAGCCGGGCCGGAGCAGGCTGCAGCAAGAAAGACCTGAGGCAGGCGCAGGGCCTGAGAGCCCAGGCTGGCTGGGCTCAGGGGGACTGAAGAAGGGGGAACCCGGGGGGCTCCCAGGGCAGCCCGGCCTGGGAGCAGTCCTGACTCTGCGGGGGAAGCCCAGGGAGGGGCCGCAGACCCTCAGGGCCTCCCCTCCTCTCTCCCTGGAAAGGAGCTGGGGAACCAGTAGTGCAAATCTCTGGACCACTCAGTTATGGAGGGAGGCTGTACCCAAAGGGGGACCCTGGGGCATGACCCCTCCGCCGCCTGGGCCTCCACCACCATCCTCAGTACAGCCGCTTCTCATAACTGTGGGCACAAGGCAAGAGGGAAACTGCGAGTGGGTATGCGGGAAGGTGGCCTCACCACCCCAGACCCCTTGCCCAGGCCAGCCCTGGGCCGCCGGGTGGCCCCCAGACACAGGAGAGGCAGTGAGCTGCAGAAGCCTCTGCCTGTCAGCCACAGGGGGCGGGAGGGAATGAGAAGCAGGCCACGTGCCTCTGTCCTCCTCAGGCCAAGGCTCCCGGAAGAACCATGCCAGGCCCAGGGACAGCCATGCTCCTTCTGGCCACAGCCGCAGCTGGTGGACTGTCCTCAGTGCCGGGGTGGAGAGACAGCTCAGGAAGGCACGGCCCATCCTCACAGAGCAAGGTCAGGCCAATCTGAGCCTCTGCTTCCCACGTCTCCACCCCACCCCTGAAGGCACTGTGGCCTAGGTCCCTTGTGGTCACTGGGTCCAGTCCAAGACAGGACAGCCTCAGGCCTGTGGTCAGGGACATCTCTCTGCACCCCGGGAGGGGATGGTTCCTCTGGAGGAGGGGCCACCGCCAGCTGCCCCCAGCATGATGCTAGTACTAGGGCCCATGTCCCACGATTACACCCCAGCGCGCCCCCAACCCAACGCCCCGCCCCAGCCCAGGCCCCACCCAGACTGCCCCTGCTCTACTCTACGCCTGGCCCGGGCAGCGCGGTTACTTACACGGCAGAAAGGTATAGCTACGGGAGGATGGGGCAGAAAGAGACACAGGTTAGATGCCCGCCTATGCCTGGGGGGACAGGCCCTCTCGACCAGGGCGGGGCTGCATGCCTGCAACTACTGCTGCCAACTAGCACTGCCCCCGCCCACGGTCGCCCCAGCGCCGGCCCTGGCATCTGTCTCTCTGCCCTTCTCCCCGCCAAGGGCTCATGCCCCCAGCCTCCACCTGCCTGCCTGGTGCCGCCACCAGCCAGAGCCCAGCACCGCCAGCCCCTGCCACCAGCCACCAAGCTTCTGAGCAAGCAAGGGGCTGGGGAGCCCAGGAGGGGCTGGAGGCCGCATCTCCCATGCCCGGTTCGGGGGAGATGCCCGAGGGGATGGGAGGGCCTGCCTGCGTGGGGACTAAAGGACAGGGTTCAAGGATGGGCTGGGCCCTGTAGGAGAGGGTGATGGGGGTCATCCTGCAGCAGCCTCCATCCCTGGTGCAGATGGTCCTCGGGGTCCCTGAGACCTCGGCTCAGCCTCTGAACCACGGCCCCACCTGCCTGACCCAGTGCCAGCCAGCTGGGGCAAGGAGGCTGCCACACTTACGAGTGCAGGCCGTGGACACCACCCTCGATCTGAGCTGACATGGTCCGCTTCTCAAACTTGAGCTCTCCTGAGTACATCATGGACCTGCAGGCAGGGAAGTGGTGCAGGTCAGGGGCACCAAGGGTGGAGGAGAGAGAGAGAGAGAGAGAGAGAAAGGAAATGGGAAATACGGGGGCGCCAGGAGCCTCCCTGATGCCCCCCACCCGCTGCCCCTCTAGTCATAGCACTAACCGCAGGACAGACAGGCTACGGGCACCGATATCCTGGCAGCCATGCTGGATCCCCGCTATGAGGTAGGGCACGAACTTCTGAATGGAGCCTTTGTCCTGGATGGAGCCCGAGACACCCTGCGCGATCTTCACCTTATCTCCCTCGCTGCACGGAAGGCGGGAAGACTGAGCCCCGCCACCCATGGCTCAGGGGACCCCACCCCACCTCTCAAGGGTACCAGCAGAGGGGCTACCACCCAGAAGGACCCCCAAAGCCGCCACTCCCTGGGCTACAGCATAAATAAGCATGGATTCCGAGTCAGGTGGCCCCGGCACCACCCCAGGTCTGCAACTTGGGCCCTGTGCCTGGGGTTCCAGAACTGTAATATGGAGACTGGGTGCCACCTTGGGCAGTCAGAGGCTCGGGTGGACCTGAAGGGCTGGGAGCTGATCTGCCTGAAGTAGCACCTGAAGTAGCGTTTCTGGCTGCCGCTGCACTTCTCCATGGCGTCCAGCGAGCCCATGCCCCGGTACTTCTTGAGCCTCACACCATCCGAGAAGAAGTACTCGCCGGGGGCCTCCGTGGTGGCAGCGAGCAGGGAGCCCATCATCACTGCAGTGGTCGGGGGGTCAGCGCCTCTAGCCCCATGGCCCTCCCACCGCCCCCCCACCAGCCTGCCCGATCCCCGGCAGACCTGTCCCCTCACCTGTGGAGGCACCAAGGGCCAGGGCCTTGACCACATGCCCCACGGTCTGGATGCCACCATCGGCTATGACTGGCACCCCGAAGCGCCGGGCGTACTCAGCCACCTTGTACACGGCAGTGCCCTGGGGCCGACCACAGGCCATCACTGGGGACAGTACACAAGATAAAGGCGTCAAGAGCAAGGGGAGCCAGGTGCAGTACAGGCCCCTTTCTCCTTGTGCCCTGCCTCCACTTGGGAGAAGGGACAGGGCTGGATGTTAATGTGGCAAAAAAATAAGTGGCAAATAACACTAGGTGAATGCACTCCAGGAACCTGGACCACCCCACCTACAAGAGCACTACGGGGACTCCGGCGGCAGCATCAGTACTGGCCTCAGCCTCACCTCTCTCCAGGTACTAGTTCCCTTACAAAGTTACTAGAGTTAGGTACTCACAGCCTCCTTTGGGATATTGGCTTGCATTTCTTTAAGTTTAATTGTCCAAGGTCCTTAAGTGTTACATTTCTAAGTGAGAATTCTAAGGAACCAGCACTTATCTAAGGATGGATGCAAGGCTGGATAAAGGAGAAAAGAAGACTTCTCTGGTGGTACCTTTGTTTGTTTTGTTCTTATTGCACCCCAAGGTTTAGAACAACGCCTGACACACAGTAGGTCCTCAATTAACATTTGTTAATTTGTGGAGAAGGCCCACATCTCACCTCAGGGGTCAGCTAATGCGAAGGTAGACAGTTAAAAGCAGAGGCTTAGAGACCAAAGTGGGAAGATGTTTTGGGCAGAGAAGACCAAATGGGTCATTCAGCGTTTGGGAGACATGACCAGACATGACCAAGGGGCCAGATACACCAGTCTTGGGCCTGCAGACTGGGCTTCCTTGACCAGAATCTGAGAAGCAGACTGGCACACACCCCAAACTCACGGTAACCTCATCTTACACCTGCCTCCCCCCAAGTCAGTGGGCTAGACAGGCAGAGTCTGAGCCTGGGCCACCCCTGAACCCACCATCCCAGAAAGGGGCCTGGCTGAGCACGCTGCGTGCATCTGTGGAGCGAGACTGAGGCCCCAGGGCCTGTGGAGGGTGACTGGGGCGTTCTAAGTGGCAGTCACTCACTCTCCTACTGACACCCACCTTCTTGCGTGATGCAGATGGAGCCGCAGCCCATGCCCACACGTAGCCCGTCCACACCAGCATCAATCAGGTTCTTGGCCTGAGCTGCTGTCACCACTGGCGGGGAGGGGGAGTGGGAGAGGAGGAACAGTGTGAGGATGGGTTGCCCCTGCCCTGCCCGGGGGCTTCCTGGGACCCCAGTCTACACCTCCCCTTCACCTACTGTGACCAAAGCCCATTCATTCGGCTCCCTGCCCCTCCATGCCAAGAGCGATGCCATCACCAGGGAATGCCAAAGGACAGAGAAAGGTTACACAGTGAGGGGCAAGGGCCAGCACTCACCATTCCCCCCAATCACCTGGAGGCGGGGGTACTTCTGCCTGACGTAGTGCACCATGGCGATCTGATACACAGAGTTCCCTTGGGATGAGTCCTGTGAGAAGGGGGACGGGAAAGCTTAGGCTTGGAGGCGGAGAATCCTCACTGAGGGAGGGGGTCTTAAGTGGACAAATCCTGAAACTGTATCAAAGATATATGAGAATACACCTTTGTCTTTTTCTGGGAAGACAATGGACAGTTCTCGGCCGAGTCTCAAAGGGGCCTGCCTTCCCCCAAAGGTTAAGCACCCCTAACATATAGTCTCACAGCAGACAAAGCCTTTTCATACCCACAATATGGACTGGTTCTCACAGCAAAGAGATGGTGCCTGCGGTCGTATCCACTTCCCACCAACTCACGAACCAAACGGAATTACTTAACCTGTTGAGCCTCAGTTTCCCCCTCTGACAAGTGGGCATGGTGATTGTGCCTCAGGGGGCTGTTGTGAGGACTAGCTGAGTTCACCTGCATAAACGCCTTAGTGCAGCGCCTGGCCAGTGGAAGGTGCTCACTGAATGTGAGTGGTAACTATTAGGGCCAAGTTATGAGTGCGAAGGGGCCCCAGAGGGGTCCACAGTTTGTTCTGAGCTGTCAGAGTACCAGCGACCCTCTCAATACTGACCCCGGGCTTAATTAGAGGTGAACCTGGTCTCCGTAAGCCTCAACTCTACGGGACAGCCCCTGCTCCAGGGCAGTGTCCGTACCAGCACTATGGCGTCGGCGCCCGCCTGGGTGAGCAGGTCCAGGCGGTATTTGTCATCCTCACGGGTGCCCACGGCCGCCCCGCACAGCAGCTGCTTGTGGGAATCCTTGGAGGCCAGAGGGTAGTCCCGGTTCTTCTTCAGGTCAGTGCGCGCAATGATGGCCACTAGCTCGTCTCGATCGTTGACAATGGGCAGCTTCCCTGACAAGGAACGCAGGGGTGAATCGAAGGAGCAGGCTTCTGAGGGTGGGGTAGGGGGATAGTGAGAACGAAAACGGACCAGGCCAGAGATTCCACTGCAGTACCCAAACCAACCACTAGGTGACAGCACCCACCCAGGAAGCGCTCCTAGGGACCTGGCTCTCTGCCCAAGGAACAGGAAGCAAAGAAACCCAGTTCCTGGAGCTCTTCCTGCCCTGTGGCCTGGCCGGGCTCAGTGGGCAGCCCCTGAGCACTGGCAGCCTTTCCCCTGAAGGGCCACAGGCCACAGTGGTCAAAAAACTCCTAGCTAGGGCACAAACACGAGGCTATCCTGCAGGGAGGAACGTGTGTCCTGCCCAACACCACCCCAGAAAACAATCCAGTACGGGCCAGGGGAGCATTTCCCAGTGGGTCCCACAGGGACCTAATGAATATTATGTCAACAGCCTCAATGTCAAATAAATTTAACCACAAGACTTCTCAGAGCCTTTGATAAAGTAACGTACAATTCTTTATGCAAGATGGGGAATACAGAAAAGCAGCATTTTTCAGACTTGTAAGAAGAACACGGAGCCCTTTTTTCATGATGAGTGTTTCACAGGACTAGTCGTTTTGGGAAATATACTGTGAAGATGCCAAATAAGGGATGGGCTTTCCTGAGCCAGGAAAAAGACCTCAGAAGTCACGCTCCAGCCTGACATCATTCAAACCTTCCCTGAGGCCCAGCCTAGTTGCAGGGACAACCTGCAAGGCTGTGAAGGAACAGGGGGCTCTGGGGTACAGGGAGCCGGGCTGGGGGAGAGGGGGTCTTGCATTTTCCGCCCCCTCCCTGGTACCTTTCTTGCTACGCTGCAGGATCTCGTTTGCCTCTTTCAATGTCACACCCGCTGGAGCCACCACCAGCTCATTCCGCGGTGTCATCACCTGTGGGGCAAGGAACATTTGCCTGCAGGTTGGCAGGTGAGAGAGAAGGGAGCCCGGCCTCCCTCTGGTCCCTGGTCACAGGCACCGGCCTGAGGCCCCGGGATGTGCGGTCCTCTCTGCCCCAGCCATGCTCTCCCTGCCCTGCGGGTACCTCACTGAGGAGGGTGGTGTGGTCCTTCTCGGCAAGGAAGTCGATGTCTCGGGAGGTGACAATGCCCACCAGCTTGCTGCCCATGGTGCCCGTCTCAGTGATGGGGATGCCAGAGAAGCCATGCCGGATCTTGGCCTCTAGCACGTCACCCACGGTGTGCGAGGGGCTCAGCACCACAGGGTCCGTGATGAAGCCCTGTTCAAACTTCTGCGGGCAGAGACAGGGGAAGGAAAAGGCTGGAAGAAAGCTGGAGGTGTGTACAGTCTGGCCACAGGGGGCCGAGGGTCTCCTGGCTGTGCCACAGGGGAGCCAGGGCCCGCCATGGAGCAAGAGGCCAGTGGGGAAACGAGGGCTGAGCCCTGCGCTCCCACTGTGGAGAAGGGCAGACAACACCCCACAGCCACCAGCCAGGGAGCGCACCGGCCCGCAGAGCTGGCAATGGGAGGTTGGGAGGGCCTGTGAGGCGGAGGCTGCCAGAGGGCATCTTCTTTCTCATGATGGGCCTGGTACTCGCCTTGACCTTTCGCACCTCGTTGGCCTGGAACTCTGGAGTGCAGTTGTGGTGAATGAAACCGATACCGCCCATCAGCTGGGGTTGAAGGGAAGAAAGGTCAGAGCCAGGGGGCCAACCCTCCTCACTCTGCAAACCCCGCCTCTGATTCCAATTCCTCCTGACGCCCACCCCACTTGGTCCTCTTGGCCCTGGGGTCCCCACCCAGGTGCTCAACTCACAGCCATTGCGATGGCCATGTCAGCCTCTGTCACAGTGTCCATGGGGGAGGAGATGAGTGGCGTCTTCAGCGTGATCTTCCGAGTCAGGGCTGAAGTCAGGTCCTGAAGATGGAGACACAGGCTCTGTGAAAAGTTTTATCATTCATTCGACAGACATTTACTGAGCTGCTATATGTACCTGGCACCAGGACAGGCCCTGGGCATACAGCAGTGAGCAAGGTGCATGAGGTCTCTGCTACCTCTTCCAGAGCTTATACTCGGAAGGAAAAATGACACACACGAAACGTGCACACGGTGATTCCAGTTGGGATGATGGCTCCAAAGGAAACAAACGAGGCAAAGTGACCACTGGAGAAAGAATGTGGGGATTAGGGAAACCTCTTTCTTGGGAGGCGACAGATGAAAACTAATCAAGTGAAAGTCCCCAAAGAGGGACTGTTGTTTCAGGCTGAGGGAGCTGTGTGTGAAACCCCGCCTCTGATTCCAATTCTCCCTGAGGTGCGTTTAAGAAAGAAAAAGCTAGTAGAGTGGAGGGAAGGGAAAGAGGCAGGAGCTGAGGGCTCAGAGGCAGGGGGCAGGTCAAGGATATGCAGCCTTGAAAGGAGCTTGCATTCAATTTTGAGATGAGAATCCACTGGAGGACCTCAGGCGGAGGAGAGACATGATCTGATTTAAAGAGGTCACTCGGGTTCCGATGTGGAGATGGGATTCTAGGTGACCAGGCCTGAAACAGAGAGACCACCAGGGAGGCTGCTGACAGGTCCAGGTGGGAGATGCTGGGCACTAGGAATGTGGAGGTGTGGGAAGCAGTCTATTAGACATCCAATCCAGGGGAATAGGTGACTTTGGGTCTGCAGCTCAAGGGAGAGCTCAGGACTGCAAGGATTTTCAGGAAGCATTTGCCTGTGAGTGGCAGCCAAGGCCAGATCACAGATTCCTCTGAGATTCAGGCCAACAGCTGTGGATCCTAGCCCTCAAAACTCTCAGACACAGACTTTGCTATATAATTTTTTGGAGACACAAAGGCCCCTGTGGTCCATTCCCAGACCCTGGCTGAGAACCCTGGCCCTGCAGTCTAGAAAACTGCCCCTTTTCCTCTCTGATCCTAGCACAGGAGAAGAGCCACAGCCTCCTGACATAGGCCATAGGACAGGGAGACCCTTGACGGCCAGGGGGGCTTCTCCCATCCCTCTCTTCCTTGCATCCTGCCCAGGATCTGGCACAAAGCCAGGGTGCTCAGAAACTGAACAGCCAAACCAAGAAGGTTTCCTGGTTGCTGTCACAAGGGGAATATATCCAGAATAGTCCTCATTTCCCCCTGAAAAATCTGTCTGGGTCAGCACTGGCTACACAGGCTGGACATGAGCTTCCCCAACGTATAAGTGATCCAGGGACACTCGGGCCCTCTGCCATTTCATGAGAATCAGACCTGAATACATATCAATGATAACAGCAACAGAAAAACTTTTTTTTTAATGTGTATTAATTTATGATAGAATAGTCTAACTTTTCCATGAAATGACTTACACCCATCAGTATTAGCCCCTGGGCTCCTATAGGTTTGTCATATGTTAATTGTGTAAAGGACATTGGTCATTCACCTGGTTTATTGCTGAGCCCCTCCAGTTAAGGGAGGCACTGTTTCCTTGTATTTGTCCACAACCTAACTTCTTCTTTTTTTTTTTTAAACCTCATCTCTTTTTCTTTTTTTTAATGTTTTTAATTTTATTTATTTATTTTTGGCTGTGTTGAGTCTTCGTTGCCGTGTACAGGCTTTCTCTAGTTGTGGTGAGCAGGGGCTGCTCTTTGTTGCAGTGTGCGGGCTTCTCATTGCGGTAGCTTCTCTTGTTGCAGAGCACAGGATCTAGGCACATGGGCCTCAGCAGTTGTGGCGCACAGGCTCAGTAGTTGTGGTGCACGGGCTCAGTAGTTGTGGCGCACGGGCTTAGTTGCTCCGCGGCATGTGGGATCCTCCCGGACCAGGGCTCGAATCTGTGTCCCCTGCATTGGCAGGCAGATTCTTAACCACTGTGCCACCGAGGAAGCCCCACCATCTAACTTCTTCAAACCCTCTTGCCAGTTCTTATATATCAGGGATCCACAAACAAGTCTGTTCACCTCTTCCAAAGTCTCCATAATCTTACTGGCTTCTATGATGTCTTTGCTTAGCACTTCAGACAAAATCCAGTAAGTAATAAAGCAGCCACACCCACGTGCATGCCCACCTCCTCCCTGGGCCTTCCCCCCCCACCGGTACGCGGGCCTCTCACTGCTGTGGCCTCTCCCGTTGCAAAGCACAGGCTCCGGACTCGCAGGCTCAGCGGCCATAGCTCACGGGCCCAGCCGCTCTGCGGCACGTGGGATCCTCCCGGACCAGGGCACGAACCCGCGTCCCCTGCATTGGCAGGCGGACCCCCAACCACTGCGCCACCAGGGAAGCCCCTCTCTGGGCCTTTTTGAACCTCACCTCAGGCTCTGTCAGTGAGCCCTCTGGCCTCAGGCCAGGCCCACCTCTCAGGATATCCCCAAATCCCCATAGCTGCCTCTAACCCATTAGGCATAATCCACTGACTGTGCCAGTTTCTCTGACAGCACTGAAGGTTACATCCACCACATTCCCAAGAAAAGTCTCTCCCGGGAATTCCCTGGTGGTCCAGTGGTTAGGACTCTGCGCTCTCACTGCTGAGGGTCCGGGTTCAATCCCTGGTTGGGGAACTAAGATCCCACAAGCCGCAAAAGGGGCAAGGTGTAGCTTTTTAAAAAAAGAAAAGTCGGGCTTCCCTGGTGGCGCAGTGGTTAAGAATCTGCCTGCCAGTGCAGGAGACACGGGTTCAAGCCCCGGTCCGGGAAGATCCTACATGCCACGGAGCAACTAAGCCCGTGCGCCACAACTACTGAGCCTGCGCTCTAGAGCCTGCGAGCCACAACTACTCAAGCCCACGTGCCACAACTACTGAAGCCCGCACGCCTAGAGCTTCTGCTCTACAACAAGAGAAGCCACCTCAATGAGAAGCCCACGTACCACAACGAAGAGTAGCCCCTGCTTGCCGCGATTAGGGAAAGCCCGCACGCACAGCAATGAAGACCCAACACAGAAAGGAAGAAAGGAAGGAAGAAGGGAAGAAAGAAAGAAAGAAAAAGTCTCTCCCACACCCTGCCCTTGAGCAAGAGATCAGCCTCTGGCACCACATACACAGCCCCTCTACCCCATCAGTGGAAGAGGTACTCACCACCTCATCAGCTGTGAAGTCTATGAATCCTGGGAGAATCAGGAAATCGCTGTGAAGAGAGGAAAGTGACTGTTCCTGGGTGAGGAGGGGTCCCTGAAAAGGGCAGGGCCTGCCACGCCAGGGGAAGCAGCATGGGGGTGGGGAGACGGGCAGAGCCTCTGAGCCCCGAGCCATGTCAGGACTGAACCACCCTCACGCCCCTCGCTAGCATCTTGTCGACTTTAGCCCAGAGAGCTAGAGCCAAAGGCAGCGTAAGCTCTGTGGTCCTAGGGCGCCACCAAGGCAGTGGGCCCCAAATGTCCATTGCCTTCAGGGCTCAGAGTTCGTCTAGGAACCTAGACGCTCCCATAATGCTGCACACAGCAGATATGGTGCCTGCCCTTGAAAACTTCTCGATCTTGAGAGGGGGAGACAATAAATAAACACAGAATATACCTGAGAACAGTTTAGTAGGGCAGCATGGCATGAACACCACACAGCACAGGACAAGCTGCACGGCCCAGTGCCAGGGCTGCTGAGTCACACACGGTTCAGAACAGCACAGAGGGACCCCAGGGGGCTGAGTGCGGGGCATGTTCTGACAGAGCAGGCATTGCTAAAGGTTTGCCCAGTTGGACGGGAGCAGCCAACAGACATGGCCTGGGATGGGAAAGGGGAGGAAGGGGCCTTATAGTTAGGACCAGGACGCTGGGGGCCCAGCCAAAGCATGGCAGTGGCCAACACTAGTGCGGAAAGGGAATGCAGGCCTGCATGGGTAAGGCAAAGCACAGTGTCACTGCCCAGGAGCCCTGACGGGTTCAATTTCCCTGAAATCACAGGGCCTAGACAGACACAACCAAAAGCAAATGCCGCATGGTGTTCAGGAACACCCCCAACCAGACTAAGCAAAGCCATCGGGCACCCCAGGGCAGGAAGGAAAAGCTACGGGGTGGACGGGAGGGGTGGGGTCTTTAATTTGCCCCAAGGCCTAGAACAATTTCCCTAGGAGACTCCACGGAAACTATATCATAGATACTCTATCCCCTCTCATCAAAGACCACCAAAGAAATAAATCTTCACTGCCCCTGTCCCTTGGCAGCCCTTCTTCTGTACAGTGAAGAGGCCTCTGTGGCTCACTTAGAGGCAGGGAAGAAATGCTGGAGTCTGGGCCTCTCGGCATTTTCTAGGTATTATATACACCCCTCACCTGGCCCACACCCCAGCTACTCTGACAAGGAAGAGGAGACACTCCTCAGGAGTGACTGGGTATCCTGGTGTCCAGGGAAACCGCCTGCCAAGCAGGAGTGCTTACAGGCAAAGGCAGGAACTGGCAGGAGACGGGGCAGGGATGCTCTTGGCTCACCAGCATCCTCACTCCACCCCAGTCCCAGGTCCTGATGCTCTTTCCTGGCATCACAGTCCTGCAGCCAACAGAAGAGCTAGTACCAGGCCTGCAGCCAACAGGACAACGGGCCCAGGGCCCACGGAAAAGCACGTTACGCCAGAGGCAAATGGATAGGTCTTGTCCTCCTCAAAAATCCTGGGTGAGGTGGGCTTGGGTGGGTGATAGTCAAAGAATACTCATGCCCGGGGGGCACCAGTACTAACTTGTAGGCAGCCAGGGGCACAAGTGGAAAGACGGCTGGACTGGACAGTGGAAAAAAAGAGCCATCCCAACTGCCCAGCTGGGCATCTCCTGGGGGCAACACCCAAGCAGCTGCCTTAGCTGGGCTCCAGGGCCCCCTCTGCCCTCGTGGTGACGCTGGGAGTTGAGAGGGTGTCGTGGACCAAGGTCTGGGAAAAGTCTCCATTACTCCCACATCTCGCGTTCCCACACGCCCCAAGGCCCCTCCATGCGGCCAAGATGCCAGTGAGAGGAGGAAGCGGGCAGGCCGGACCCGGATCTAGCCAGAAACGGGGCATGGCACCGAGGGCCGCGATGTCGCTGTGCCACGTCCGTCTGCTCTCGGCGCGGGCCGCCTTCCTTCCCTTGCCCAGCCCCCCCCCCCCCCCCGCCCCCCGCCCAAGTCGCTCTAATCGGGCCGGGGACGCGGGCGTCACCAAGGGGGGAGCTGTGCACGTGCAGGGCCGGGGCCGGGAAGGGCGGGGGGGGGAATCACGGCGCGTTAGTGCGCGCACCCAGGTAGGGCCGAGGCCCCCAGCGCTTACTTGTAGGTGAGGCCGTCGGCGTTGGCGAACAGCTGCTGCGCAGTGAGCCCATCCTCGGGCACGTAACCGGTGCCGCCGCTGATCAGGTAGTCCGCCATGCTGCCAGAAGACACCGCGACCCGACATAAACACCCGCGCGGGCCACCCCGCTACCGCTGCCGCCGCTGCTGCTACTGCTGACGCCGCGCCACGGCCACGCTGCCGCCGCGGGCAGGGAGGGCCGGGGGCGGGGGCTGCGGCAGCGGCGGGGCGGGCCCAGGGCGCCGCCCTCCCCTCCCGCCCCTCCTCCGGGAGCCCGCCGCCTCCTCCGCCCGGAACAGCACAAAGAGCCCCGCGGAGACCGGCCCAGCCGCCGCCGCCGCGCGCACGCCCAGGACCGCCTGCAGTGGCACAGCGGCCACTCGGGACCGGGGCGGGGGAGGACGTGTGGACCCAACGGGAGGAGGGGGCTGAGCCAGGCCGGGACACGCCCCCTCCACCGCCCCACGTGCCGCCTCCTAGGCTCCCCGCAGCGCCTCCCCCAGGCCCGCCAGCATCCTGGGCCACCCCAAGCCGTCCGACCCCGCCGGCCTGAGTCTCCCCTGGCCCTACTCCCCAGCCCCAGGGTTACCTCTCACATGGTTTACCTTTCCCAAGACTAAGGCTCAGACTTTAACCAGGGCCTGGAGCCCTGAGGAACTGGTTTGGGCTGACAGCTCCCCAACGCAGCAGTTTGAGGTTGTACCCTCCGGGCAGTGCACCCGCCCGTGCTCCCCACAACCGGGCATCAGTCCTACGGGTGACAATGACAATCCCTGACCTTTGGGTGGCCTTGGAGCCCTCTGCAGTTTACAGGAGTTTTTCATAAATGATCACATTTACTCTACAATCTATTAATTGCCAATTATTAGGTGTCCCACCCCACCCCTGCTTTACAGATGCAAAACCTACAGTTCAGGAGGGGTTGGAGACAGGTACTACCCCTGATCCAATGCTTCAGTCTTACGTCCTGTCTCATCCCCAGATCAAAAAGTAGTGTGGATACCGTAGGTTTTAACCCCAGAGGGGAAAGTTCGCTTTTATTTGGGAGGGTAGCGTAGTGGGAAGGTGAGGGAGGATCACAGGCCTGGCCTAGGCAAGTATGTATAATATAAATTAGGGCAGAGGCTAGGGAAGTTTTGAGAATTTCCCAAAGCAGACATTTGGTGGCCCTGGGCCCAGCAAGACCCAGATTTCTACATGAAGGTAGTAAGAAGGTAGTAAGGTAGTAAGATTAGGTAGCAAGTTGATTCACATGGGAGGAGGTGGGGTGTCAGCGGGCAGACCCTCCCGCTTTGCGTGACCAGAACTACTAACGCTACTGCCTGACCAGAAGCCAGAAAGTGATTTCCACCCCTCCCCCACACCCTCTGCCCCAGGCCCAAATGCCTCGCTCTCCTCCCTCTGTCCTCCTATGGTCCCTACGGCTCATTTCTTGGTGAAGTGAGGGAAAGCTGGGCCAGGGACACAGTCCTCTCTCTGGCAAGGTGGCTGTCTGTGGTACTCCTTCCATCCCCAGCCCTCGAGGCTGGGTTTGTTTACCTCTCACCAGTGTGGTGGCAGCCAGGCCCAAGGGAAACTCCCTGGGATGCCCAGCCCCCCCCAGTGACGCCCGGGGACCCTGCCAGGAAAACACAGCCTGTTCCATCTGCGTGCAGAGGGGAGGGGAGGCTTCCCACAGAGCTGGGGTGATGAGGCCTGTGAGGCTGAGAGTGCTGCAGGGGGCTCACAGATGTCCACAGTGCCCTCTTTCTTACTGTAGGGGACCAGAAAAATCACAGGCGCCCAAGCTTCCCTCTCCACCCAGGGAGCCCCAAGGAGGCTCCTGATGGGGGCCTCTGGAGGCCCTCTGGTGTTGAGAAGGGGGGAGAGGGCCTGCTGGGGTTCTTTGCTGAGTGGGGATTGGGGCCAACTTGCTAGGGATGCCTGGGACGTACTTGATCCCTCAGCACTCACGGACTCATCCGGAGGGCCTGAGCCATATGGGGAGGAGGGTTATCCTGAGGGGACCAGCACTAGGACCTCCTACTGGCCACCTGGAGGCAGAGCAGTGAGACCAGCCACAGAAAGCACCTGGCCACTCAGGGCTGTCCTGGGCACCTTTCTAGCCATAGAAGGATGGGGCTAGGATAGCATTGCAGGCACAGCACACGGGCTGCCCCTGTGGTCTCCCTGGGTCTCTGAGGGACCTGCCCTGGGTCACTATCTCCTGCAACTAGGGTACTATTCTATTCAGGGTTCCACCAGGGCTGGGGCCCAGGACAGCAGCTGGGTTCTGCCATCTCAGTTGACCTCAGCATGACACCTGCCCCAGCGTAGAACTCAGAACCAGAGGAGGAGGCTGCCAGGCTGAGTTGTGGGGAGAGTCCTCTTCCTGGCGGCCACAGACCTCACAGCCCCACACCCGTCTCCTCCTGCTTTGACCTGTGTCAGGGCTCCTCGTTACTCTAAGCTGCTGAGCTCAGCCCTGGGTTAGGCTGTCCTCTTCCAGAAACTGTTAATCCCCCCCCAGCTTTCCTCCTCCCTCTTCCTGATCTTCCCCCCCCGCTGCTTCCTCCATGGGGAGGAGACACCAGGCAACCAGTGGCCTCCTCAGCTCGAGGAAGGGCTGTTGGTCCCCTGAGGCTCCACACCTAGCAGCTGCGAGGGCAACGGAACAGAACAGACCCAAGCCCCTTCAAGCCCCTTCCTTAGGACAGGGGGGGCACCCATAACCGGGCAGGGAGCCCAGAGGTCTCTTTCTAGTCCGGGGCTATTTGAAGGGACAAGATTTCAAAACACTTCCGAGGGGAGAGGTGGGGTGGGGGAGTGCTAATAACATTGTTGACCTGGGTTAGGGGACATAGCTTGCCCAAGTTCAAGCCAGAGAGCAATAACTCTGGCCTCAGACCTAGACTTCTCATGGAACCCTGTCCTCTTCCCACAGCTTTAGGCTAGTGATGGCAGATGGAGGTCTAGCCAGCAGGTTTTGAATCTCATTACAGCACCTGGCTGGGTCTCAGGTTTTACACAGACTCTTCAGAGTCTGGTAGGTGTGTGGGGATAGTACAGGTGCAGAAGTACAATCTGGAGAAGGGATGCTCCTGGTGTTCTGAAATGATACTTTTGCAATACCTTCTCCAACCAAGGCACTGCTTCCATCAAGGTCCCGTGTGCCCCAGCACACTCTCTCACCTCCTGTAGCTTCTCTCTACTGTCCTGGACCCTGAGCCCCAGTAGCTGGATTTCTAGGATGGGAGGAAGGATACAGTTGCCAGAACCACTGTCAATTCTAGAGAGCCAGCCTGTGGGGGCAGGAGGGGCCAGCCTTCACCCAGCAGCCCCTTAAGCCGTTAAAAGTTCTTACATAAGAGGCCAACCCCTGGGCAGAGCTGCAGGGCTAATTCCCCCAGACCACCGCCCACCCCACCCCCCCAAACCCAGCTTCCAGGTCACCTCCCCAAGCTGCTGAGCACCAACAGATGGGACAGGGAAAGAAGTCCAAATCCTCTGGACCGGAAGGACAGTGGGATTGCGTTTCAAGCTGCGATACAATCCAGAGATTAGCCACTGTCTCCTTTTCAGTCAGTCCCCGGGGGCCCAGATCAACACCTCCACTCTTCCTCCAGTGACCCTAACAGACCCCAGCAGGGTAAGGGCAGAGGGGGTTTTGAATCTTAGGAGAGACACTGGGGTGAGCTGCACTGGCCACCTCATCAGACCTCAGTGAATGGTGAGGGGGGGACGGTGTCCTCACTCGACTCCGAGGAGGCCCTCCATCTGGACACCTACACCTGCCAGGAAGACTCTGAAGATAGTTCTAGGAGGAAACGGCTAAGGAGGAGTAAGCAAAGTTGGACATGGACTCCAATAGGCTCGGTTTGAATCCCAGGAGTTGGAGCCACTTGGCTCAGGTGTGTAGTTGAGGTCAGATCCAGGACTAAAATTTTAGGGATCGTTCTTCCGACCTGCTCCCCGGTGCAACACAGCACTGAACCTTTTCCACACTGCCTGCCTGCATCCCCCAACCAAAGCTGGGTGCGGGGCGTCTGAGCCCGGTTTCAGGAAGTGAGAGCTTGAGGCGGTAAGAAGGCATGGGTGGTGGGACCTACTCTTCCCCTCCCCCGCAGCGCTGCCTGGTTCCCAGAGCCGCCGCGCCCGCCCCGGATGCGCCCCGCGCGCTCTGCCCTGGGCGTCACCTCTCAGGCTCGTAGCCGGCCTGCAGCAGGCGGGCGCTGTACCGCTGCGCCGCCGTCTCGTGTCCCGGGTGCTGCCGGGCTCCGGGCTCCGGAACATCGGCGGCTCCGCCTCCCTGCAGCGGCGGTGGAAACGGCCCCGACCCGGCTGGCGGAGCGCGCGGCTCCTCCATGCGGACGCCGCGGCTCAGGGCGGGTGGGCGGGAGCCCCTCCGCCTAGAGGCTCCCCGGCCCGGGCTAGGGAGTGAGCGCAGCCCAGTCTGGTCCGGGGAAGGGGCGGGGCCGCCGAGGCGGGGCCTGCGTGCCGGGGGCGGGACTCGAGTGCCGGGGACCTGGTCGCTCCCGGGAGGGAGTCCGCTGGGCTTTCCGCGCTGGCAACGCTCTCCCACCGGCCACTCTACGCGGCTGCCCAGATTCAGCCCGTCTCTCCCATCCCCGGATCAGCCACAGGATACTGGGAGACGGAAGTGGAACTGCAGAGGCCCTCCACCCTTTCCCGCCGTCCAGACCTTCCAGTTTCTCCTGGCCCCTTCTAAGGAAAACCAGAAAGGAGCGCAGAGTATTATCAGAGGCCAGAGTTTTCTTCGCGTCTTGTGTGGGCGCCTCTGCCTCTTGCGAACGAAGGCACGGTCCTTTGAATCACCTCCTACCGGCCAGCTGCAGACCTACCTTGCTAGGGCAAGATAGGCGGGGAGATTATCCATCTTCCTTTGCCTACTGCCCCCTTTGCCTGCTCGACACACTCCTTTAGACAGGAGGAAAACAGATTTTCCTTAGCCCTTACCTGCCACCACGTGAGGAAAGAACAAATAAGACTGCAGTCTCCTTAAGGAAAAGGGCCTTCTCTTCCCTTGCCTGGGGTACCCCATAACCAGGGAGTGGGGTTGAGCACACAGGTGCTCAAACTTCTTCATCTACTGACTAGAAAGCATACTTTTTCCTCTTTCATAATTGTTATGACCAGCAACAGTGATTGAGCACCTAGCAGAGTTGGCAAGTAAGAGTCCTTGCCCTCGGGCAA